AGAGTTCTGCGGGCCCAGTAAGGAAGCCGGATGGTTTAAATGGTGTTGGCATGGTGATACGGGGTGAGAGAACCCTGACAGGGATACAGACAAAGGATAGCCAGGTTGGCTTAGGTTTTTATGTTATAGCTGAGGAGCATTGAGTTAATATTTTTTACAGTGTTTGATTGGGGGCACTAAAGAGAACACCATTTGTTTAGGAAAGTGCCCAGAAACCTTTAGCTTCCACACACATTAAGTATTATTCAAGGGCCCTCGCCCTCTAAATAACACGGAACTCAATTATCTACTATAAAAAGATGAAAATCTATTGGGATTTAAATCTGTGAAATTAGAAAAATTAGTTATTTTAAACTTAAGCTGGACTGAAGCTGAACTAAACTCTTAACTGCATAATGAGCTTTTTTGGCACGTATACATGCTATAATTGTAAAATATTAGTTGAAAGCCATCTATTGGCTAGTTTTTTTAAAGGCTGCAGTCAAATAACTTCCCAACTCACACAAACATGGGACAATATTGGTGCAGTCATTAGCAGTGCAGTCATCCTCAACCAGGAAAGAGGCACACCAAAGACGGGTAGAAGCCCTGCAATATTCCCTTTAGACTGTAGGTGGTATTTGATGCACCAGTGATTAGTCCCTCTGCTCTAGGGAAAGATGACAGAAGAGATGGTAAGTTGCTTCCAAGTGTCTTTACAAACAGAAAGCCAGTTAATACAGTTCTTGTTCAAGCAAAACTGAAAGCCAAAGGATGCTTTATACAACATGACAATGTGAAAACTGAGTAAGAATCTCAGGATTTGATCAGTACTGTATACTGCGTGTCATATTCCTGGTACTGAGCTATGGACAGTCCTGATTAAGCCTATCATTTATTTTCCCAGGGAAGAAGAGGATAAAGATGTCACTTATATCCCCATCATCAATGAGGTTGGTTGTGCCCTTAATGCCTATTCCTTTGTGTCTCAGAATATCACAGGGAATATAATTATCTCCTTCTCTGAGAGCTATGTCATAATTCATAAACTAGGTATTGCCAACAGGATGCTTGGTCTGTGTCATCCAAGCTTATAACAACTGTTTCCACCTATATGGACAGTGTATAGACCTCATCAGGGTTAAGACATGTTGCTATAGCTCTGGAGAAGTGAGTTAAAGATTCTCTCTGGACTTTTGCCAAAGTAAAATCCTTTAGGTATCTGGATACCTGGCCATTCAGACTGGAGGGTCTGAGGTAGCTGGACGTGATGCTAGCCATATCATTCCCTTGTGTGCTGTCTGGGTGGAAGTTTAATTTTTTGAAAGCCCTCATGCTTGTAGTTTGGTAGCTGGGTGAGCTGATATCCTGGCAGGTGTAAGTGCCCACCCTTTTTCTACAAGGGTGCTTACACCCTACACCTACAAGAGCACTTACACCCTTTTTCTACAAGGAAATTACCACAGTTCTGCGTCTCAGTGACTGAGGTATTGTAATAACAAAGCTCAAGAAAAGCACTTAAAGGGATGCTGCACACAGTCAATCCAGAGTGTCTGTTCAAATGTGACGTTATCAGCCCTGAGAAAGCCAAGTCATGCAGTAATATATGTAGGGGACTTTGGCAAAAAAAAACTTGGTGGACTTTTTCATATACATAAATGCCAGAGGGCAGTTTCCCATGAACAGTACTACGGTAAAAAAAATAGAGATGGCACAAAGAAACAGCATATATTATGGTTAAAGAAATAAATTTAAGTTTCAAGCCTTCAACAATAGTGGGCCCAGTAATGTCATCTCCAGTTATGAAAGACCAGTGCTAAGCTGAATGTGAATCTTGCTATTGATTTCACTAGAGAGAATCAGGTTTTTTAGTAAGGGCTTCCTGACTGGTCTGAGAAAAGTATTCTTAAGTTCAATAATGATCTCTTAAGAGCATAGTGACACACCTCATTTTCTACCTCAGCCTTCCACTTACTTGTGGTTGGGATGTTCTTTCATACTCTAACACCTGCACAGAACTGTATTTTCCTCTTGGTCCTCGCTGTGATGACAGTCCCACACTGAAGATCCATAGCTAGCCCCATGTGCTCCATGGAAGTGCTGGCTCACTTCTTACTGATTGTCCCAGGGGCCGCGGTAATGTGGAACACTTACCCACAGCCAGGGATGGAAGACACGTGGAGCAGGAGGGAAAACCCGCACAGCTCGTTAGTCGCCTCTTTTTACAGCTCCGGCCGGCCAGTGATGTCGGCGTCAGACGCCGGCCAGCAGATTTAAAAATGGTGGCCGCCGCTCCAGAGGGGGCAGATAGCTCGGAGACCAGGCTGCAGCCAGCACCAGCAACGGAGTGGGCTCCGCAGGCAAGTCTCCGGAGATCCAGCATGCCGGAGGGGTTGGTGGCCAAAGAGAGAGGCACGGCAACCGGGACACCGGCAGATCTCCAGAGGAGCAATGGGCCGGGTGAGCGAAGGAAGAACGGGGCAACCCAGAGAGCATCAGAGGTCCCCGAAGTGAGTACTGAGACAATGGGCCTGGATGACGCCGAAGAGGGGGCGAAGAGCCGCGGACAGCCCGGCTGGAGGGTGATCGGGGCGGGATCACCGCCGAGGTCTTTGGACTCCGACAGAGGGACCCGAGCTGGGCAATTAGTGGTTGACAGAGGGGAGCGCCCTCCCTGCTCATAGGATCCCCAGACAGGAACCTGGTGGAGGGTCGGTTAGGGGTAGCTAGGACACTAGCGTCCCCGAGCAGGGGGGCACGAAGCACAGAGTTGCGCACGGTGGAGGGGCTTGTGATGAGGTTCCTAGAGAGGTGACAGCAGAGGCTTCCTTATAGGATAGGGTCAAGGTGCATGACCGCAGGGTAGTCGTTCCCTACCGGCATTTGGGTCCGAGGACTGGAACAGCGTCAGAGGCCTGTAGGGACAACCCTGGGAACGAGAAGGCGACGCATCACAGGAGGCGTGAGGCCGGGGTGTAGGGGTGGCGGAGCCCCGTGAGCAACCGTCGGGCCGGGCCCGGGCTACTGAGAGACCCATGAACTAGCCCCGCCCACTAGGGAACATCAAGTCATGGCAGGAGAGAGCGGGGTGGCGGCACGGGGAGAAGAACTACCCCAGTGACGAACAGGCCTGGAAGGGGCGGAGCCAACCGCAAGGAGAACAGAGCTGCCCCGGAGCGGCTGGAGAAGGCCTGCTGGTTGCACTGATATTTTAATCAGAGACATTGTATATGCAACACCGACTAATTGGCTGACTTTTCCCCAGTTCTTGGATTCTCTGTTCCAACATGAACAAGAAGTCTGATCCTCATCTACACCAATCTAACTCCACTCATCTCAGTGGAATTATTCCTTCTTTTACCTGAGTAAGAAGGATGAAAACCAAGCACTAAATATATTGTTTCAGAAGCAAGACTGGGTACTTGAAATTATTATCTAGAAGGAAATAAATACAACTCACCTGATATGTAAAACCCCATTCACTGACACTTAGGCTGCCTATGCATGTGCTCAGGGGTTGGGGAGCACGTTTTTATTAGAGCGGTTCCCAGAGATCCACTTTAATTAAAACGCCTCACCATCACATGTATTAAACCACTGCGCGTTTAAAATTGGCCACAGGACTCTTTATCCAAACCTCATTTGATAGGGTTTAGTTAAAGTTCCCCTGTAGCCATTTTAAACAAGTGGGGGTTTAATACACAAGATGGTGAGGCAATACTAGTGCATTCTAATTAGAATGCGCAGCGGGCTAAATTAATCGAGTCTCCTCTGATGTGTTCTAATTAGAACGCCACCAAGCACTTGTATAGGCAGCCTTAATTTTGTTTCTGCCTGCAAAGTGATTCTTTCCCCACGTTGTGGCAGGTTAGGAGCACTGGTTGACATTTTAGTTTTAATGTAGTAAAGGAGAGCTTTGTCCTTTGTTTCAACAGGATCAGGATTTGACTTGCAAATTGTAGCATATCTCCATTTCAGTCATTGCTTTAATATTTTAATCTGTGCCTCGAGGGTAAAGAGATAGTAAGTTTGATTATGGTCAAAATTTGAAGACCAAAAGTAACACTGCACGGAGTTTTTTTTGTTTTTTTTAATGCAAGACCCGTAGGCATTTCTTGTGTGCTGCCTTGATAAGCCAGTTCACTTTTTAGGCCCCCAGCAAGATTCTGGAGACTGATGGAAACACCCTGCAAAAAACCTTGGTTCTCAAGAAAGAGATTGAAGTTGATCGTGTCACAGCAGAGCTTATTGCTAAGAGGCAAGAGTTTAGAGAGCGGATGGAAGCTGTGGCCCGACGGAGAGCAGAGTTCACCAAAAAGCAACAGGATGTAAGCATTTCCCATCTATATTATGAGAAAGAAACCTTGAAACCCCTTCCTTTCATATACCCAGGCCTCTGTTCCAGTTGTTTCTTTTGCAAATCTGCCTGTGGGTGTGGTGGAAGCAGTGGTATATCTGAGCACTGGACAGTCTGCAATCTGATATTCCTCCAAGGGGACACAGTACACCCTGACCCTAACCACAGGAACAGGAGGGTTTTTTGTATTGCTGTATCAGCACTAAGGTCTCCAACTACTCCCTTTTCTGTGTTTGTTGTAAAAGAGATAGGGCTGGCTACAGTAGTGACATGAGTGCTGGTGTCCATTATACTCTGGACACCTGATTCTCTATCTAAAAGCAACACATGGAAACAAACTAGAGGCTTGGTAGGTTGGCTAAAAGTTTATGAGCATATTGAAAATAAATCCATCAAGCTGCACTTATGCAGACTTTTCACTGATTTTCATAGGTCGCTTCCCTGGTAGGGTGTGGCATCAGTTTGTTAAATGTGCCATCTCTTTTTTTTTTTTGCCAGAGCAGGACTCAAGCTCTTAAATTTGACAAGTTTCTTAAGGACACTGCTGTGAAGAGGCAGTGTGCAGTCCAGAAATACCAAGTAGAAGCAAAGCTGAATGAAATGAAAGAGAGAGAAATAAATAAATTGGTTGCAGAGCTTGAAAAGCTGAGAGTCAGGTAAGTGACAGATCATCTGAGCTTAGCTACAGATTTCCCTTTCTACTGTCTATTTATAGAGTTCTGCTGCATTATTTTGCATGGGTTTTTCTGACATGTAAATGTTTGTGGCTTAGAAATCTAACTTTCAGGTTTGCAATACAGTATCTTGTCTCTGCAGGTTCAAATAGTAACAAAAGCAGTTCAGTTTCTCATCCTTCTCAGGTAGGTAATTTGAAATCCATGCAGTATACCAGCTGTAAAAAATAGAGCTAAACTCAGGACAAGCCCTCCCTTTCAAACACTGTCACATCAGTGACAGCTGGATCTGAAAGTCCAGAATGTTGTAGGTTGGTACAATTTTTGCTTAATGGTGATATTCAGCAGTCATAATCTAATAGCACTTTTCACAAGACCCAGATTTTCCATGGGCCCTTTGGCCAACATTTCCTTCCTTGCAGTCTGTAATTCTATTCTGTGGGCTGGTTTACCATGTTCCACTCTAAACCGAAACTGCAGCTATTGCAACAGGCCACTATTGTGAACTTAGGCAACTATTTGTGAACAGTATGAAAAATTAGTATCCCTCTCATTAGCTTGTGAGTGATAGTGGAAATAGGAGGCGGTCAGTAAGGATTATGTCTTCCAGTCAGGGCACAGAAGGAATACTGTGTGACTTAGGTGACAAAACAAAGAGCTTGAATGTTGTATGGTGTACTCAGAGTACTTCTAGGAACTACTTAGCAACAAACCCATGGGCTGGAAACTGTTTTTAATAAATACTGCTTGAACAATTAAGAATAGCAAACAAATATGCCAGTCAAATTATTTATGGATGTGTAAACATTGCTCTGAATATTGCTAATTATTTGTATTGCTGCAGCACCTAGGAGCTCCAGTCACGGACAGACTTCACTGTTCTAGGTGCTATACAAATGCAGAACAAAAAGACAGCCCTTGGCACTATCAGCTTGAGAATAAATTTTTAAACTATATGCATGCAGGTTCTGAAGCCTCAAAGGTTCCTGTTGGGAGCTAAAAACAAGGGGATATCTCCAAGTTCTATCAAAATAAACCACATCAGAAACCTCCCTTGTTAATAAAAATGGAAGTGCTGCAGAATTACTGCCTGGCCCCACATGACCCAGTGATAGACTGCTGGAGGTGGGAAAAATAAATTGTGTTGGATTGGTAGGACTGGGTAGGAAAAAAATTCTGCTTGTAGGAATTTGCATAACATATTATTTACTTAGTTATAACAACCAGGCAGTCGTTTTCTAGCACAGGATTAAGCAGGATTTAAGTTACTGTGGACTGACACAGGATTAAACTCCTATTCAAAACTTCTCAGATTCCTTCTCAAAACGAGTTAACATGATCAGCATCAACCCAAGAGAGGATTTATCTATCTAGAATGTAGGTGCTGCAGTGTCTAATTTCCAGGTCTTTGGCCTTCAGAGTTAGTTATCTAAGCTGCCTATACAATACATGAGAATGGTGTACCTCAAAATAGTACTGCAAAGCACCCCCATGCTGAGGGTAGGGAACCCAGGAGCTAACTAATGGGAAACACTAAGAGCGTGGGTGCGTGTGAACTCCCCACTCTCGCTGCACCTTATGTGCCTGCGTCGGGGGGCAAGCAGACAGGCATCTCTGTCCACACAGGATCCAGAGCCTTGAATCCTTCCCTAAGGGTGGGCACTTGCACCTGTTTTTTGCAAGAACTAAGCACAGCTCACTATTTTCTTTCAAAATGGTGTTAGTAATGCCCACCTTTTAGCAAAGGGCCTTGTTGTCAGACCAGTTCGCCAGGAAGTGGGAGGCCCATGTTCTCTGTTCTCCTTGACCTGAGATGGCTCAGACCCCCACCTTCCAGGATACCTAGCCACTACCTGGAAAGGGGATGGGCCTAGACAGTTTACAGGCTTTATAGGGACTGGGGCTGGTGTCCTTTGGCATTGCTCTTTGGTGGGGATGGGTTGGGGAGTGTTATCATATTTCTTTTTAAAAGTGTTTAAACTGAATAATGTGCTTCTATAAGGCGTTGAGAGGTGGAGAGGGCAATTAGTAGGTTTTGGGGACAGCTACGGCCCTCCTGTGAGAGAGGAGGTATGGGTTTGGGAGGGACATTAATACAAGTGGTGGACTCCCTTGGATGTGAGGCAGAGGAGTGGGTAGAGGTGGGAAGGGATATGGGGAGAAAACATTGTTTATGGGTTTTTTTAATTTCTGAGGTAATAAACGGGGGCTGGGAAGTAAGGTTGGGCTGGGCAGGGGACATGCTACTAAGTCAGGCAGGAGAGAGGGGGTGGGATAGACTGATTTTCAATTCAGGGACATTTTTTGGTGAGTTTGTGGGGTTTTATACTATCTTATTTTAATACTGCATTCTGTTAATTATTGTAAGGCTCCCTGAGCCTTTTTTGTGAAGGTGGCATATGCATCTGGTAAATGCATAAATAGGCTGTAGGGTATCTCGGGGTGGTGAAAAGGAGAGGAGCACTGTGCATGGGTCTGTGCCGCAAAGACTGTCAGAATCATGGGCTGGTGCACAAGGCATGAGCATAAGCAGCAGCATGTTTAAGGCACTGGGCTGGCAAGGGGGTGCCTGGGTTCTGACTCCAGCTCTACAGGTTATTTTTCATTTTACATTCAGTGATGAAAAACAGAGAGTCCTGGATCTCTCACTTCCTTGGGCAGTGCTCTAAATCACTGTAAAGCAGAGTGGCACTTGTGAGCATGTGCAGAAGCAAAACTTGAGGCACCTAGAGAACTTCAGAATCCAACATGGAGACATCTAGTAAGCTAAGAAATCTAAGGGGATAGGTGTCAGAGGTTTTCTGGATGGCAGAAGACTCCTTCAGTTGCCTGAGACCTTTACTGTGTCTCACAACTGCTGCTATTGGAAGGGTGTTTCAGAACTTCACTCCTCCAACTGTTGGAAATCTTTCTCCAATTACCAGCCTACCTTTTTAATGGTCAGTTTATATAGCCAGATATTCTTGTGCCAACATTGCTCTTTAGCTTAAAGATCTCTTCTCCCTTCCTGATGTTTATATTACTAATGTATTTATAGAGAGCTATTTTGTCTCCTCACAGCCATTATTTTGGTAGGGCCTAGTAGCTATGCTAAACAAGCCCAGCTCTTTTGGGCTAGGGATAGAAATTGTACATAAACTGGTATAAGAGATTGGAAACTGGTTCAAATATGTAACGCAACAGAAGTTCATTGCACATAAACCGCTTGCAAAATGTCCAAAACTGATTTAAGATAAACCTGGATGGATGTAGTATCAGATTTAACTGATTTAGATTAAACGAGTTAATAAAACTTCTGTACCAGATCCTTTTCAGATTCAAGTTAACTCATACTGCCCCCTCATACCAGGATGCCTTGCCCCTCCCCACCCCGCCCCCTTTGCAAGGTGGGTAGGCTAGCCCTGGCCCAAGCTGTCTGCTTCAGATGAACAGGAAGGTGTGCTCTAGCACCCCCCACCCCTCCGGCTTCTGGCCTGGACCACCGCAGGCATGTGGCTGCATTTCTGGAGTCAAAAGTGCATGTCTGTTCACTTGTTTATTGGTTCAATCTATGCAGTTTAGAGTAACCTGTGAAGTTTGAATTGATTCAGCCTCGGGCTTTTTGACTGTCTGTACTTAGCCTTAGTTTCCTGGCTGTTAGCTCTCTTAATCATCCTAGTAGCCCTTCTCTGCATCTGCTGTATTTTCACTTCAACTTTCTTTGAACATGGGTGGCAAGTATTGTATACAATATTACAGGTAGGCTTTGTACAATGACATTACTACTTCCCTGTCTACTGGAAATATTTCTCCGGTAGTAGTAGTGATACTAATAAATATTCAGAGAAATGTTGGGAAGCTGAACATTTGAGCACTTTTGGATCCTCAGAGGAAAGATACTATGTCATGTATAAGCCGAATCAATATTCATGTTGTTATAGGAATGCTTTTCCTGTGACAGTTTGCAACAAAAAGCTTATTTGATGTAAAGGATTCACATAACGCATTTCATTTTCTCATTTGTTTTATTTGAACCTTCTTAAATATCGTTGCTTATTTTTACAGGCAACAGAAACTGCAGAAGAAAGTGGAAAAATATAAAGTGTATGAGGATTTCCTACTGAAAATAACTGATAAGTTGCCTGACAGTAAGTGCTGCTGGTGCTTTTACTGTTATAATAGTAACTTTCACTGACTCCTTTTCACTGTATCCTTGCCAAGACATCTAGTCATCAGCAGTGGTGTGTGTCTTTAAAAATAAAGGTAATCCATGTGTGACAGACCTCCTGTCAGCTACTGTTCCCCAACCATTTCCTCTCTATTAAGCAGGAGAGTGACCATCAGAGAGACACACTTGAGACAGGGCAGTGGGTTAGATCCATATTGTTGTGACCCATGCTGTTTTATTGGGTAGGCAGTATAAAGATCAGTATACTGGGTGAATTAGTCTTTCTTGTAGGAGAAGAAAAGGTTGTAATGTTATTTTGGTCTTCTTGGCACTAGAAGGTTAGCATAATCCAACTGCTCTTTCCCTACAAGAACACACTGATTAAGTCTTGTCCGACTGTGAGGCAGCCTGGGGTGCAGGGTTTTTGTTGTTTCACTTATTATTTTCTGCTTTTGCCACGCAATGCTTTGCTATTGAAGCAAAAGTCAGTGATGTGCACCTTATACTGGGAAAAAATGTTCCAGGTTCTGGGTAGATCTTGTAACAGCTGGACTATGGTCCCCAAGGAAGCTCTGTATCCTGCACAGATAGGGTACATCCAGACAAGCGTGCACGTGCAGTTTGTGGTGCCACAGACCTGTTTGTGGTGCTGTAAACTGCATGTGCCACACATGCAGGCATTCACTATGCTAATTTGCAGCATGGCAGGGTTTTTTGACACTTAGAGATCCCCATGTCAAAAAACCCACACTAGACAAAAGCGGCATGGTGCACATGGCTGCAGCGTGTGCCACCTGAAACTTGAGCCTGGTCAGCCAGAGCCACACTTTGGCTGTTGGCCATGCTTCGTGAGCCTGGATCACCACTGCTGGAGGACCCCAGGTAAGGCTGCTGTGGCCAGCCCAGGTGCTGGCATCAGCCTTCCCTGCCCAACCCAGAGCAACTTGCCACACATCAAAGCATGCATGCAGGGGCATTCCCCAAGGGCAACTAGCTGTGGCACAAATATGTGGGACTGCTGGTTGTCCCCGAGGAGCACACACTTCTGTTCACGGGGATGCACCCAGAAGCGCTATCCCTATAGGAGGCAGATGCTTTGCACCTGAGAAGTAGAGGAGTGATTGAGGGATGACCCTGACAGAATTTGAGGGATGCTTAGGGGCATCCTCAGCCCAGTCTGTATCACTCTCCTTATGTATCAGAGCAGGGGTAGTCAACCTGTGGTACTTGTGCCGGAAGTGGTATGCGAAGCCTCTGTGTGGCATGTGGCAGATCAGGGACAGAACAGGCAGCACAGCAGCAGAGGAAGCTGGAGGCATAAAACAGAGCAGCACAGAGCACAAAGCAGGGAGTGGAAAGCAAAGCTACAGATTGGGCAGAAAGCAGAGCAGCAGATTGGGAAGAAGAAAGGAATCCTAGTGGCACTCAGGAAACGTGCAGAACTAATTTGTGGCTCACCTACCAAAAAAGGTCGGTTCCTATTGTATTAGGGAATCGGTGTTACAGTAGCAGATGCCCAAGCATTTCTCAACTGGCGGTTTGTAGCACCCAGGAGAGTCATGAAAGATATTTGGGGCAGTTGTGAGGTGCTGAAAATACTATTACACTATAAAGCAAATACAGTGTTACTTCCCCACTCTTTGTACAGTCTTGTTTTTCAAGCACTATCAAAACACACAAATTCTGTAGGCCTTGGCACCTTTGCTTTTCTTTGTTTATTCAATGTGATGGTGTCATGAACATTTTTGCTATTGCAAAAGGAGTCAACCTGAAAGGATTGAGAAACAACTCTTCTATCTCACAGAAGTGGCATTTTGGTGGCTACCAGCCATATAAGTACATTCAGTAAAGCCTGTGATTTGCATATCAGATAAAGCAGTTAGCTGCTGATTGATCATTTTTCAAAATTTCAAACCCTGCTTTGTTAACTGCATATTACTTGCAAAAGAAAATGTATTGAATGCATCTTCATAAATGTATAAACAATTCCAGCTGAGCCAGGTATTTCAGGTCTTGATGTTTTAGCCCATACTTCATTCTGAACTGATTCATAGATAGTAGGGTTGGAAGGGACCTCAGCAGATCGTTAAGTCCTACCCCCTTCTCCAGGCAGGAAAGAGTGCTGGGGTCAGACAACCCCAGCCAGATGCTTATCCAATCTCCTCTTAAAAGACCCCCAAGGTAGGGGAAAACACCACCTCCCTTGGAAGCCTATTCCAGATTCTGGCAACCCTAACTGTAAAGAAGTTCTTCCTGATGTCTAACCTGAACCTGCTGTCTGTCAGTTTGTGGCCATTATCTCAAGTTACTCCAAGGGGTGCCCTGGTAACAGAGCATCTGCTATCCCTTGCTGTCCCCCCCAGTGAATTTGTAGATGGCCACAAGATCACCTCTCAGCCTTCTCTTGCAGAGGCTGATGAGATTTCAGGTCCCTCAACCTCTCCTCGTAGGACCTATCCTGGAGGCCCCATACCATACGAGTGGCCCTCCTCTGGACCCTCTCAAGGTTATCCACAACTCTCTTGAAGCATGGAGCCCAAAACTGAAGACAGTACTCCAGCTGCAGCCTCACCAGTGCCG